AAAAAGAAAAGAAAAGAAAAAAAAATTGGCCTCTTGGTAGAATCATGGAACACAAGATCAGGAAGGGCTCTTAAAGGCCATGCCATATAGTTCTTTCATTTGCAGATAAAGAAAAGCTTAAAAGATTTGCCTAAAGCACACACAAGCCAAGATCAGGACATGGATTCTAATCGATTCTAGAACTCTCAAACCGGGGCTCTTTCCTCTATATGTAGCTTAATTGTTTTCAAAAAACGTAACAAAGTTGCTACTGAATTGATTATTCCTTGTGTAATCATTATGAATTCTGAATTAGTGGTATATAATAAAATTTTACATTCTTCTCTTATCCATCCAATCAGTCATCCATTCATTCAGAAACTACTATTGACCACTAGTTATCCGTGAGGCAGTTTGCTATAGCACGACAAAGAGGAAAAGGAACTGGTTTCTTGCTTTTAAGAAATGTATAATTTAGTTACGTGGTAAATTACTCCTTATCACAATAACAGGTCATCAGAATTAGTTAGCCAATGTTATTTCTGTACTTATTCATAGTTTTAGTAATCAACTTTGGTTAGCTTTCTTTCTTGTTAGCTCTAGTTTCACTAATGAAAATAATGGAGCTTTATAGTACAGAAAATTACAATGTAGGACCCAGGGATGGGTAAATACACATTTTAAAACTTAGTATTATGTAAATTAAAAAAGAAAAGAAAAAATAGATATAGCAATTCTATTTTTATTAAAATAGTACATTTTTCATTAAATTTTTGGAATACTTTTTATAACTATTTTTATAATTTTAATTATTTTATTAATGCATGGAAGAGGATAAATATATATTCTGCTGGTGACAAAGAAATTTTACCTTTTACTTTTAAGGAATGTTATCATGGCACTTAGTTTGACTTAGATGTTTACTAATTTAATGTAAAATTCGTAAGTAACTATTTTGAATAATTTGGTATATTTCAGACTCCGCTGAGATACACAAAGACATTATTGCTTCCAGTTGTTATGGTGATTACGTGTTTTATCTTTAAAAAGGTATTTTTAAACCAATTATTATTTGTTTTTGGCGTCAATATAAGGACTATAATAATGCAAATTGCTCAGAATTCCATGTTATTTTTAGGATGAACTCTTTCTCTCTCTCAAAGTTTGTTTTTTATTTAGATATTTCATTATTGATCTTTTTATAAAAAGCCATGATAAAAGGTATTCTTATTTTTTCTTTCAAAAGATACATACCAGTCACCAGCTGTGTATCAAGGACTACATTAATATTGTAGGTTCACCCGGACAAATAAAATGTGGCCACTCCTGTCTTGTAACTTACAGTCCTGGATTACTGGGGATGGGGGTGCAGACATGAAGCAAATAATCGTACAAATGTCTAAAGAATTAAAATTTTTATAGGTACTATGAAAGAAAAGTCCAGTGACAACAACATTAATGTCTTTCAAATACAAAGCACGGTGAAGTCTTGATCTATTTTGAGTGGGCCTGCGTAGAAGAAATTTGTATAGCTAATTAAAAAATATTTTTCTACATGTTCACTGTTTCCATGACAGAAGAAAATAATATCTCAATGAAAGAAATAATCTTTAAAATCCCAGTGGCAGGTTTTCTTGGTCTGGGTAGAGTTTATCTAAAAGCATGGTTAAAGACAGTGGGGTTTTATTTATTTATTTATTTTTTTAGCAGTCTTGAGCCATCTTTATTTATATTATTTACAAGTTATCTTGTCTTAAGCCAGTATGTATTTATTTTATACTTTTAAGCAGATAACAATAATGTGATTTCCCTACCACTATACCAGTTGTATTCTTGTTGAAAGGAGTTTTCTGTATTTAAAGTCAAATTGCATATCTTTCCTATGTAGTTTTAGTTGCCACACTTCTCACTCCTTTATTTACACATAGATGTGAACAATTTAAGAGTGGGAAAGGTATCTCCCTCAACATCTCTGTGGTTTTACCCTTGATCCAGTTCCCTGGGGACCATGTGGAAAGTCAGGATAAAGGAAACAAGGAGGAATGAGTAAAATGTGAGCAGGTTTACTGCCCTGCATCCTTTCGGCCCATGCTGGCTTAGAATGAAGATTTTCTCTACTGACCTGTTTCTTTTCCATCAAGGCAAAATGTCAAGTTATTCTTATAAGGCTCCACTTAGAGGGGCCAATGCACGAATTAACTATTCAGCGGAGAGTCAACCAATGTGAGAGAAACTGATAGCTAGATCCGCAACTGCTATATTTAAAAAAATTAAGATCCAAGACTTATAAATACATAACTAGTCTCCAAACACGCCACATCCTGAACTATGCATGTGCACTAGCAGGGGCATGTGCGTATACACACACATACACACATCCCTGCAGCCACCCAAGTTTCATACCCACACACGCACACGCACATGCACACGTACACATACATCCCTGCAGCTGCCCAAGTTTCATACACACACATACATGCACAAACATCCCTGCAGCTAGCCAAGTTTCATATACACATACACAAATGTGCACACAAACACTCATCCTTGCAGCAAGCCAAGTTTCATACACACATACACACGTACACACACACGCACACGCACACTAATCCCTGTAGCTGGCCAAGTTTCATACACACACACACACACACACAC